AAAATGCTGCCTTAGTGAGCAGAAGAAAAAAATCTTACAAACCCCAAACTTTTTAATAGTAGTGTTCTCAAAAAGTGTCATCATTCCAGTATTTTTGTGATTTATGGAATTTCATGTCAATTTCATGTCAATTGCCCTTATGATCTTTGATTTAATGTTTTAAAGTCATCACATCAGAAATGAATTTGATCGGCATCTGTTTTCGATCAGCAGACTGAATTACCCAACAGTCCGGTTGAAGCAGTAAAAACAAAAGCGATGGCCGCACTGCGCTTGGAACGGTCTTCTCAAAATGTTCTGACAGCAGTTGCATAAATGTTTGTCTTCAAGTTTGTTGGCCAGAATCTTCTTTGGGAACCCTGGCTTATTGTTCTCCATGGAGGACGGGGGAGAGGGTTCTTGAGCAGCCATGTCCTCCTCTAAACCTTCCTGATCTAAACCAAAGAGAATACACAGTGGCAGAAAACTCCTATTAAACATAGATGACAACTTAATGGACTTTCCCTTAAGAATAAAGATTATTACACAGCTCTCTGGAATTCTTGATTCTGATTGGTCAATCAAGGCATTCTGTGGTCTAATTTGTATAATCATAATAAACTGTATGATTGTATCACTCTGCTATGGAAGCTTGTTTCTGCCAATGAATAAAAAAAACAAAAGTTTATATCAGTTCTTCTCGCAAGTCTGACTTTTTTCCTCTGAAATCTGAGTTTACATCTCGCAATTCTGTTTTTCTTTATTGCTTCCGTCATGGAATAAAAATGTAAAAAAATTGCAACTTTTTATCTCACTATTGCCAGTCTATAGCTCACAGTTCTGAGTTTACACAATTCTGACTTGCTCAATATTGCGAGTTTACATTTTGCAATTCTGAGTTCATATCTTATAATTCTGACTTTTTCATGAAAATGCACGTTTATATCTCACAATTCTGAGTTTATATCCCACATTTCTGAGTTTTTATCTCAAAATTCTGACCTTTTTCCTCAAAATTGCAAATTTATTTCTTGCAATTCTGACTTTTTCTTCAAAACTGCAAGTTTATTTCTTGCAAGTATTTCTTGTGAGATATAAACTCAGAATTGTGAAAAATAAAAAGTTGCAATTACAATTATTCCGTGGCCAAAATTTCATGTCAGTGTATTTATTTATTTGGTGAATCAGTGAGATAATGTAAAGTCAGGCAGAAAATATCATAAAATAAACCCTTTAAGGGTGATGCAAAACCCTCAGTCAAAAATATTTAAACTGTATAATTGTATCACTGCTATGGAAGCTTGTTTCTGCCACAAAATAAAATTGTGAATTTCATCTCAAAATTCAGTCTTTGTTTCTTGCAATTCTAAAGAAAAAAAGTAAAAATTGCAAGACATAAACATAAAATTCAGAGGTTTTTCTCATAAAAAAATTGTAAGTAAAAAAGCGACTTTTTATTTCACAATTCTGACTTTTTTCTCACAGTTGTAAGTTTGCAATTCTAAGTTTATCTCACAATTTTGACTTTTTTTTCCCTCAAAATTGCAAGTTTATTCCTCTCAATTCTAAGTTTATATCTCACAGTCCTGACTTTTTTTGTGAGATATTTCTTGCAAGATACTTTTATTTTGTTTATCCTGTGGCAGAAACGGGCTTCCATACTCTGCAATCATAATTCAACATTTCATGTCAATGTATTTATTTATTTGGTGAGATAATGCAAAGTCGGACAGACATTATCATGAAATAAACTCGTTCGGGGTGATGCAAAACCCTCAGTTTGAAAATTAGGATCCTGATGATCTGACTATGGTTTATTGCTCATTGTATGTTATTGTTTACCTAACTATTTAGCAAATCATTTACTATTAAAGAACTAAATGAAATAATCACTGACATGCAAAATGTAGAATTGCACCTAACACATTTTGTGTGGTTTGATGTATTTTTAGAAACATATTTAGAGCTGTCTTGCTGTTTGTAAGCACATTATGAACAATCAATAGCATTATTATTTGTGCATTTATACAATTTATTTGTTTGGTAAGATTGTTATCCTCTGCTAGCAATTGCACAGGGTGAAATAAAAATACTCTAAATTAATTAGATAAACATTTAAATAAAAAACCTAAGAGACTCACGCACAGCAGGCCACATAATATGAAACCGACATCTCTTTGTTTCTGTTTCAGTTTTGCTTGTATGTGTGCGTTTGCATACAGACATCCACACAAGCGATGTATAATACTGTACAGTGGTGTAAACATTCACATGAAACACGCACTAGAACCCTTCATGCATATCTCAAAGCACTTTTGTCCGATATCGACCATGCAGCCCGTCGATATACATCATACAGTTAGCTGACAATTGCACATCTCATCTTTTCGTCTGTTGCTAAGCAAATGCATCATCTTTCGGATGGTTGTTGCGTGCGTTCTGTACCGCCACGCCTCTTTTACATGCATTAAAGGGATATGGTGATCCTGACAATAAACATGAACGCGACAAAATAAGAATCAAAGAGTGCATTATGAGACGGACGCACTGACTTACCGCTCAGCGATGAGATTTCGCTTTCATTTGCTCGGTTGTGCTCGTGTTCTGCTGGACGGAGGCGCGCGGCGCGGCTGCTGTGTTTTGGTGGTCGACATTGTTGAGAAGAGCGCGTGCTCTTTCACTGGATTACGTCATAATGTGAGCGTGCACTGGGCTTTTGAATCTCTGAGCTTGTTTCTTTTTTTGTTATTTACAGGAGGACTATCATAATAACCTCCTGAAATGCAGGCAAAATTGTATTTGGTGCATAATGTAAATACATCATATCCATTTCAATGTATGCTAGTCATATTCTTTATTTTTATTACTGTCAGTATTATTTTGTTTTTGTGCATAATGTAAATATAGTACATAATAGTCATACAAATGTATAATATATTGACTCTTACACAGATCTACTGTACATGTACAGCATCACATGTAAAGCTAAAATAATGAATAATGATGATAACAGTGCTGATAATAATATCGAGGAATTTAGAAAAATAACAATATTTTAGAAATATTATAGAATAATATTCTAAAATATATATAAAACCAAATGGTCAAAACATATGCGCTCTATAGAGAGAGAGAGAGAGAGAGAGAGAGACAGACATATTAGGATATATTATTTTATATGTTGAATATGTGTACATGTACCAAATTAATATTTGGTTTTCTAAATATTAGCATATAAAATATATTATTATATTACATGCTATTGGATATATGAATAATCTCACACACACACACACACACACACACACAATTTATTATTGTATAATATATTATATTATAGAATATTGTTATATGCATGTTTAGAATGTTTTGTTTTATGCATCAATATATATTCTTATTACTGTATATATTATATTATATTATATTATATCTGTTGTGAGTACTGAGTAGTGTAGATAGCAATATCCTACTGTACTTTGCACGCAGGATTGTCTATTTAGATTGTGGATCCCATTCTACCGGCAGAGGCGCTAAAGCGCTGCTGTTTTATCATCTTACCGCTAGAGGCGTCAAGCGCCATAGCGCCGCTATTCATCATCCTACCGCTAGAGGCGCTGCAGCACAATATACTACTGGCCCCTCTTGCTGTCCTCACGGCATTCCACAGATGATGGACTTCTGAGGGATGAGAGGGGGATGCTAAGGAAATGTTTTCCTTCAGCACAGAAAACGGGCTGCTGTTCACCCCAGCAGACAGCAGAATGTGACTGAAATATCGCAGGCGAAGACCGTCAACCAGGTAAGGAGGTAACTTAGTTAGAAATAAAACGCCGCTGAGTTTTAACGAAGCGTTGCTGTTTGGTTTGTGTTGTAATTGACACGTCGCTTTAGCAGTGCTGCTGATGGCCCTCAAACAGACGAGCGCAAATAATTCACCTCACTAAACACACACAGGTATCAAGGAGCGCCTTCACAGGGACAGTTTTCACACTTTCCCGTCAGAGGCTCAGCGGTTTTTAGCAGCTTACAAGGTGTAATGTCTCAGTGAATATAAACCTCTGCTGACTGGAGCTGCAAAAGAATATTTAACAGCTGGTTCATCCTGTGATTATGGTAAAGCTGACAGATTTCCTGCAGCTGACAGGTGAGAGATATTAATTTTGTGTAGTTAGATCAGTATAACAGAAGACTGTTTAATGCTGCTTATTTAGGTTTAGAATAAAATGATATTAAATGTTTTTATAATGTAGTTTATTGTGCTAGGCTATTATGCATATTAGGTTAACTATAAATGCATCAAATGAATCTGCTGCTTCTGTCTTAATCTGAGGTTGTGATGATGTTCATGCTGCCTTCGAAGTTAAAATTAAACTGCAATTAAATTTTATTATCAGTTATCAGACCTGAAATATTTTTATATACTGTGGTTTCTGCTGGCAAATGCTTTTTCTGATTCTGAAATGTTGGTTAGTGGGGCTCGGGTTTGTTCACCCAAATGTGGAAATTCATTATTTACTCAAAGATATCACTGTTGTTCTATTCTGGAGCTCAAAAAGAGATATTTTAAAGGGGTCATATGATGCTTTTTAAAGATCATTATTTTGTGTTTGGGGGGCGTGTTAGAACGAGCCATTTTAGGGGGGTGTGGCAGAGTCTTAACTTTGATAAAGAATATCTTTTTGGTTTTGAGACTTTAGTCTTTGCAACTTCAGGGATCTTATCTATGCACAATCAGCTTGTAACACTCCAAAGAGAAAGGAAAACTTGAAATCGCATCATATGACCCCTTTAAATGTTCACTCTACTCTTTTCCACGCAAGTTTTTTTTGTTTGTTTTACTTAAATTCTGGTCTATTCCTGACAAAAATTGTATTGCTTTGGAAGAATATACAGTGGTGGCCAAAATTATTAGAATACTAGTATTTTCAGCAGCTAAAAAATGGTTTTAAGTCCATTATTTCTATCTTTTGCTGTAGTGTGTCAGTAGGAAATATCAGAACTGTGACAACGTCTCCAAGATGCTTCAAGAAACCTTCCTGTGAGTAAATTATGACTGAATTTATTACATTTTTCTATAACTGAGGGCAGTTTCTATGATTCCTGTATCTGATGTGCCCACATTGTTTTTCTCGCAGGTGATGCCAGTAGACCGGTTTGGACAAATATCAACGGTTACAGTGGCTAAAATGGCACATTTTAGGATTGTAAACTGTTGAAATAGAAAGTAAACATCTGCTAACTGCATCAATATATATTGAAGACGGACTCCACTTTTGACCTTTAGACCACGTCACACCTGCCATCAATATGTTAGGTTAAGAAAGTCTGAAGTCTTCGATCTTTGACACCGCAGTGAGTGTTTCCCCAGAAGACCAGGCTTTAGCATTGCTGGACTGTTGAAGGAGCTTTCATCAAGATGTTTACCGCTCTGAAGAAGCTGGTGGGCTCTGAAGCAGGGCAGCTCAGGGATAGAAATATTCCTTCAGGCCTGCAGTCCATGAACCAGAATCTACAGAGGCGTTTCGCCAAGGGCGTGCAATATAACAGTAAGAGCTTCATGTTTAATCTAACTTTCTTTGAGCAGAGCCACTCACAAATAGATTTCAATTGTGTTGAAAACATCCATTGTTTTCTTGTAGGCTTGTCGAGTGAGTTTTTCCTTGTGGTTTGTCTAAAGTATTATACTTTTGAATAGAACTCGGCAGTACTTGTTTTGCTAGGTTAAACTTTCTTTTAGGGATGCACCGATACCGATACTGGTATCGGTATCGGGCCCGATACTGGCCTACCCAATATTTAAAAAATTTACAAATGTAATAAAAATATAGGTATCGGCGTGAGTTTTTCCTTGTACCAAAAATAAAAGTATCGGTATCGGGCGAGTACTGGAAAAAGTGGTATTGGCTAATCCCTACTTTCTTTAAAAACAAATTGAAACAAAACTCCTGAAATCTGTCAAGAACTTGTCTTGGTCATATTTCATCCACAAATCATTAAAAATTAATACATTAAAAAAAAAGTATATATATATATTAAAAAATACATAATTTAAGAAGTACAGGTGCATCTCAATAAATTAGAATGTCGTGGAAAAGTTCATTTATTTCAGTAATTCAACTCAAATTGTGAAACTCGTGTATTAAATAAATTGAATGCACACAGACTGAAGTAGTTTAAGTCTCATATACTAGTAGTTTTTGTACAACTTTTAATTTATACTGATTTTAGAAGAATAAAAGCATTACAGTATTGCAAATCCGATGACAATCACCATTGAGAATAGCAGTGGAAATTTTATTTATTTATTGCATTACAGTAATATGAATTTGATTTAATTGTTATGAAAATAATGTAAATGCAAAAACCTAAAAATCTAGCTTTATTTTGTCTTTATTTTTCCTCAAAACAATTATGAAATGCAAAGTAAAAAATTAATTAATTGGAAATTTGAGACATCATCAAAAGCACAACAAGACGTACAGTAACTGAATGCTTCTTGCTTTGCCTGCAGCCGGTGTGAAGGAGTTTTGTTGAAGTTGTGTTTTGACATGCGATGCTGCATCAGTGAGCCAGTCGGTGTTTCTTCATTGATCTGACTTTGAATACTCGTCGTGCTGTTTCCGCTGTTTCCGTGCTCTGTGTGTTAATAAAAAATGCATGAATGATACATGATCACCCACCTACTGGCCTATTTTTCCAGTCGCTTCTCCTTGGTAGCGGTGTATTTTTTTTAGACATGCAGAATGATATCCCAAGATACCAAGCATTTCAGCTGTGAAAAGTGCATTTTGGTAGATATAGCTGGCACTGTGCTGTATCAGTACAAAACAAATACAGTACAAATCTGGTGTGAAACTTCTTGTCTTGGTTTAGATCTTTCCATTTCCATTCAGTGCCCTTTGTTTATGCTTTGAAACTTGGGATTGTTTAATTTGGGGTTTCTTAGATCATGTTAATGTTCTTGTGTCTGCTTGTTTCTCTCAGTGAAAATAGTCATCCGTGGGGACAGGAACACGGGTAAAAGTGCACTTTGGCACCGGCTTCAAGGGAAAAAGTTTCTGGAAGAGTACATCCCCACGCAGGAGATCCAGGTCACCAGCATTCACTGGAACTACAAAAGTGAGTATTGCTGAGTACCTCATGCACTGTCCCTCAATGCACCTCGTAGCTTCATCTTATAACTTAGGTTAGAGATGTACTGAAATTTCAGCGGCTAAAATAACAATTTTCAGTTTCAGCCTGAAATAATTTTGGAGGGCTGAAATAATTGGCCAAAATAGTGCGTGTTGACTGTGTGGGTGTCTATTTAATTCACACAACGTGGATAACCTCAATAAGTAAACATTTCAGCAGTGTGAATGCTAGGATTGGATTAACAATATTGTTTTTAATCGATGCTGATATGGATTCTTAAATCTCAAAATCATCATTTTATTCTATGCTGTTTTCTGTTAATACGTGAACTTCACTGAACATCATTGTAGCACACCTGCCATCCAATGATAAGCTTTTAAGACAATAAGCTTTTGTAATATGACACACAGTCTCAAATTCTGTCAATTTCATCACAAAATACAAGCAATAAATGTTGTTTTGACACCCTTTAAAGTGTCGTGACAGAGCGCTGTAGGATTTTGCTAAATATATGCACTACATTACATTTTTGCTTAACCTTTTGTCTTCGTTATTTAATATGTTTGATAAATCTGTCATGAAAACAAGTTTTAACAGCCACTATTTAAATGTTTATATTTCATCTACAAATAAAAATTTGACACAAAAAATAGTCTGTATGTGCAATTTAAATGTTTGTACAAATTGTTAATTATTAAATAAATATTTAATTAAATATTAAATCAAATGTATTTTCAGTTTTCAGCTAAATGAAAAATGTAATTTCGATTTTGGTTAAAAAAATAATTTTGGTGCAATAATATTAATACACTTATACAAAAAAAAAAAATAATATTTTAAAATATTTTTGTCTTTTTAGGTTTTTGGGGCAAATGCATCCTAAATTTTCTGTTTCTGGCCCAGAATTTTTATTTTGATGAATCACTAGTCTAGCTTAGGGCTGTCAAAATGACTGAAAAACTAAATTCGAATTTTCTACTTAAATATTATCAAAATGCGAATTATATTCGAATTTAAAAGTCATAATTTCAGTTAGGGGGAAAAAAGCTTTTGGCTTCTCTCCTGAGGCCACAAGAGGGCGCATCGAGCAAAATATTATGCACGTTTCTTCAAAGCGTAATAAAATAACACGACTATCTTTGAACAAAAAGTGCATAATGTTTAAAATAATGTTTATAAACCATATATAATTAATAAAGTTGCTTAAACAATTAGAAAAAAAAAACGACACATACATCGTCATCGCATCTTGTGCGCCACTGATAAGGCTACCTAACGGCTGACGCAGACCTTAAATTCTAATGTAACGTTTTTGCATTCGAATGTGGATTTTTTTAATTTTATTCGACGAATATTCGAAATTCGAATTTTTTTGACAGCCCTAGTCTAGGTTAGTCAGTCTCATCTGCTTTTGCTTCAGGATATAAAGATGCAACCCAACACAGAACCATTCAAAATTGTTGCAAAAGTAAACAAAAATGCCCTTAAAATCAAAATGTGATTAAAATATAATTTTGTAAAATCATACACAATAACCAACATGTGATTTACCAGATAAACACATGAAGCAATCACTGTGCCAAATATGCTATTAGATTTCTGTCTAATACGTTACCTTGCTGTCTGCAACCCTTTCAGCACAGACCTGTGACTAATTTTTTGGTTGGTTTTATGAAAGGAAGTAGTTTATATTCAAAGATCTTGCCAGTGATCTAAAATAATTTATATAAGTAGACTACCCTATCAGAAAAGAGAAATACTAGGTCATCTTTTGTGAAGTATCAGAACCTGTTGACTATTTCTGACTGTATTTTGTTCTTGCTTTTATTTTTTGCCCCGCAGCAACAGACGATGTAGTGAAAGTTGAAGTCTGGGATGTGGTAGATAAAGGTGAGTCTTTAGGAAGCACTCTGGTATTAGTGACAAGGGGCTTTCCCTAGTGCTAGTTAGTACAAGTTAGCCGGTGCAGCAGTTCGATGTGTGAACCCCAAACTAAATTTTTATTTGCCGAGAAATAAGCACTTGAAAGATTTGCACTGAAAAATGCAGACTTAATGAAATGGTAATTTCAATATGTTTGCAGCTATCTGTAAAGGAAAAAGATGTAATGTATTTTACTTCTTTTCTTATGGTCTGCAAATACTCAAAGGGCAAAAGCTTCCTCTTCCAGAAGGTGTAGGTGAGAACTAGTAATGTATTAGTCAAACATTAAACCGTGTGTGTGTGTGTTGTGATCTTCACCTCTCTTCTTTTACTATGAAACCGTGCTCAGAATAGACCTTCAGTAGCTTGTGCTATTATTAGAACCTAGTGTGGACTTGCATTAAAATCAGATGACCACATTTTTCCCACAGTACATTTATTTTAATAGGGGGCATGTGATATGTTTTGTTTATAATGGATCACATTTTGTATTCATTTTTGAAATTGTTGCCAGAATCATCTTCTATAATGTAAACATTATTTCAAACAGCCCCCTTTTAAAAGTTCATAAATGATGCATGAATTGAAAATTCAGTTGTGGTTTAAATTATGCTCAACAACAATAATACTCTCTTAAGCATACCTGCATTTTCTATTTACACTCTTTGTAAATTGGTAGTTGTTACCTGCAAACATTTACCATGGTAGCCATAGTTCTCATCAAAATACCATATTTAAGATGTTGTTAAAAGTTTATCTTTAGCCACCACTGACAACAAAAAATTAAATTGTGAGAAAGATTGGACATATTACACTGAAGGAGAACCGTATGAGTTTATGATAAAACAACATCTATAGTAACTATAGGAGTAAACTGTGGTTACCATGAAAATATTTGCACAGGGAGCTGCTGCTGTTGATTCAGGTTTGCTCTAATTACTTTCTATCTGCTTTTGTCTTTTTTAATTTATACACATGTAAATATTGAAATAAGATACTGAATACTATTTTAAGGGAAAATGCATCCGTGTATAGGTGGAAGGACACTCCATATTTCTCAAAAGTTAGCAATGTGTACCCTAAATGTAATTTATATTATAATACTATTAGTACTAATAAGAGCAATATTTTACTTATGAATTGCTGTGACTGTCAAGTTGTTTAGAACAGTCAGGGTTCCAGCAGTCTTGTAAAATTGTGTAAAGATTCAGGGCAACCTACGTAAGAGGACAGCAAAATGATAGTTTGGCTGCTTTGGTGGTACTGGGTGGGTAAGCATATGAATATTACTCTTCTCGTATCTCAGACTCACAGTTGCCTAATTGTAATATCCACGTTTTTCCAACTACTGCAGGGAAAGGGAAAAGACGCGGCGAGAATCTGAAATTGGAAAATGACCCTCAGGAGGTATTTGTTAAACAAGAAATATTTGTAGGTAGTTGCACTACTGTTGAAAAGATTGTAAATGATTTTATGTCTCTTATGCTGAACAAGGCTGTATTTATTTGATCACAAATGAAGTAAAAACAGTGAAATATTATTACAATTTAAGAGAACTCTTTTCTATTCGAATACATTTTATAATGTGATTTATTCCTGTGATCAAAGCTGGATTTTCAGCATCATTACTCCACTCTTTAGTGTCACATGATCCTTCAAAAATTATTCTAATATGCTATGTTGAAAACAGTTGCTGCTTCATATTTTTTTAGAAACAGTGCTACATTTATTTGAGCAATCTATGATGAATAGAAATGTCAAAAAAACAGCATTTATTTGAAATCTCTGTAACATTATAAATGTTTTTTACTGTCACTTTTGAACAATTTAATTATTACTTGTTGAATAAAAGTATTAATTTCTTTAAAAAAAGAGAAAAAAAACAACTTACCGACCACAAACTTATGAATGGAAGTGCAAGTCTTCTGGACAATTACCATGCGATTAATACTTCAAAGTTTGGTTTTGACTGAAAATACATTTGATTCGTTAGTTATCATTTGACATCTCAAATTTCTCATTGTGTAGTCTGTAAGCTGGTTTTAATGTTCATTCAGCTGGAAACAAGATGTCATTTTTAGTAATCTTGTTTTGCTCTCTGTGCAGTCGGAAACCGAGATGGCTCTCGACGCAGAGTTCCTGGATGTTTATAAGAACTGTAACGGTGTGATCCTGATGTTCGACATCACCAAACAGTGGTAAGGAATCTGCCTTTCCTTCTGATTTTCCCCACGTTCACTCTCTCCAAACCCCTCATTCATTCTCCGTCTCCCTCTCCTATCCTTCCATCACTCCTTTCCCACCCCGTCGTCCCTCTTTTTGGTCTGTGGTCAGGATCAGGTGCCAGAACTGGGCGTTGGGTTGCATTGAGCATCTCATTCTCAGTAGAGTCAAGGAACAAAGAAAGCAATGAAACCAATACCTGCAGCCCAGTGTCTCTTAAAGATTCTGACTCTGTTTATCTCTCTGCTCATTGGATCTGCTTTGCATTCTGCCAGTGGGTCTTTCCTTTTTGACCCAAGCACACCATCGCAGGTGCCACTTGTTTGCAAACCTGGGCTCTACTTTATTGATAGGGCTGTGTTTTTGCCTTAACAACTGCTTTTGTGCTCCTGGGAGCCTTGTAGTCATCTGTGTGTACATTTTAGATGTTTATATATCTAGAATAGATATATAAACATCATATAGAATATCTAATCTATATTAGATTTTTATTCTGTTAATATATAATTGTTTAACATATAAAAAAAGAAACCATTTCATAATACCAGCAGTACAAGGGCTAATTTTAAAAGGCTCTGAAGAATTTCTGAGCCATATAAGAGCAAAAATAGTCACCAGCATAGAGCATAATTTCTTCACTTTTGTAATGGCATGACAGACAGCACTATTTTTACCATGTTTACTCTGCATCTCCTGTGCTGTAGAAATTGCCACTTGGCCACAGTTGTGTACAGTATGTGCGGTTCCAGCAGATTTATGAGGTGAAGTCTTCCCTCATGACTAAAGAGACACAACTTTGTCTCTTAGTAAAATGCCAGCCAATGCTGAATGTTGGTTTTATTTTGCCTGCTCAACAAGGTGCTCTCATAAGATATAATTTCCACTTATGAACAACAGTCAAATTCTGTTTAAATGTTAAATTAACCTACTTAATGGCAGATTTTAGTGTACAGATGTGAAAAGCGAATTAAAGGTGGGGTAAGCGATTTTTCAAAAACGCTTTAGAAAACTGATTTGGGCCGACTAGCAAAACAAACTTGTAGCCAATCAGCAGTAAGGGGCGTGTCTACTCATTGTGGAGGAGAGTGCACATGATGAACATTAGCGAGCCGAGCGACAGAAAGATAGAGATGGCGGATAAAAAACAAAAGAGGAAAACGGAAACAAAAGAAGGCTTAAGGCTATTAGGCAAGAAGTAGGACCCGTGTAAATATCGGATCAGCTTTCCAGCGCTGAAGAGAACTCAAGGAGCGGAAGGCCTGCGATCGGACGCCGAGGTTGCTTTGTTTCTTCTCGATAGGTGAGTAACACCGTGTCTGCGCTGCAACAGCTAAAGTCTGTCTAGTACACTGGACGCGACAAAGCGACCGTTGAAAATCATTTGAAATTTGTATCAATACGTCATAAATAGAACGCAGCAGCAGTTTTCTGTCAGGGATTTGTCATGTCGCGCCACATCCAGTGTAGACCATAGAGATATATATATCTATGGTGTAGACCGCATCACTGATTATAATGAGTTCTATAGTATTTTGTCGCACCGCACCACTCGCGTCCGGTGTAGACACGGTGTAACATTGGTTTTGCTTTGTTTACTTATCGTTGCCTGGGTTGTGTATGTATGTGTTTTGGTGATTTCAAACGTCAACATTGGCTACCAGAAATCGCTTACCCCACCTTTAAATTCATGTCTCGCACACTTTAATACTCTTTGAATGGAACATATACGCTTGCTTCGAACTGGAATCATGGCGGAATATACTGTGATGTCCACTTTGCAGGGCACTTACTGTCGAATAGAACAAACGTCTGAAGTGATAAGAGAAACGTACGAAATATGCTGTAATTGAGAACCACTGAAATACATGATCATCTGGCTGAGATCAAGCTATATTGTGTTTATTGTTTTATCTGGCAGATATATCAGTGCCATCTAGTTATTGAAAACTGCAAAAGAGAAATCAGTTTGGTCCTGTGTGTGATACGATAGAAGGCGGCTGTATGATTTCAATGAGTGTGTATGTGACTGAGCGCTCGAATGATCATTATTAAATATGAATAGTCTAATTATTCTAGACACAGTATAACATTGGTTTTGCTTTGTATCACAGAACTAATCGTTGCCTGGGTTGCGTACGTATGTGTGGGGCAGAGCTATCAAAATAGAGGCGAGACCCTTTTGGGGTGGGGCGTGTTTGTTTTGGTGATTTCAAATGTCAACATTGGCTACCAGAAATCACTTACCCCACCTTTAAGATTTGAAGAATGGGACAATCTAGGATTGTGTCAAATCATCAATGAAATTCAGCTATCTCAGTGATCCATGTACGAAAAATGGGGCTCAGCTCACTAAATGAATGTTGGCTGTGATCTTGGTCTACCCTTTGCGTTCTTGATTTTTCTGGTCAGAATCGTTTACCAGATAAAGATAGAATTACTTTGATTATTTTTCTGCTTGGTTTTTATGCTGCTGTCAGGCCAGTGTAGACGAACAAACAAGACAATACATTTACTGCTTTGCTTTTTAATGCTGCTTGCTGGCATTTCTGCTATGTGTCTTGCCAACGTATGTGTGGGTGGTCTGAAGTCTAGGAGTACTGGCCAATAATGCAAATAAGATGATTTGATGAATCAGTTTAAAAATATCCCAAACTGCACTAAATGTTAAAACTCACATTTTTAGATATAGTTTTTGATTTATAAATGTGTATCTAAGAGGTATGTCTTTAATGTATAAAACTGTGCACTACACAAGGAAATCACATCAAAGTATGTTTCATATGAATCGCAGACTCTTGTTTTTGCTGTAGGACGTTCAACTACATCCTTAGGGAGTTGCCAAAAGTGCCGACACACATCCCAGTGTGTGTCCTGGGTAACCAGCGGGACATGGGCGAGCACAGGGTCATCTTACCCGACGACATCAGAGACTTCATCAACAGTCTGAACAGGTGGGCAGTTCAAGATTAACACTCAAAACAAGGGGCTTACGGACCATCTTAGTCCAACTCCATGCTTGAAGTTGGGACCTGTAAAATATTGTAAATTTTTTACTAAATTTCGTTTTATTTTTTCCACAAATTCCATTTTTCCAATTTTCTGGATTCTGTTTGAAAGGTTATGTTAAATGCTAGTAATCAAAAAGCATGTCTAATTAATTGAAATCCTGAAATGTGTACAATTTAACAACATTTTATTAAAAGTTTCACAAAAATTCAATTTTATGCCCCTATGGAATCCATTTTAGTTTTTTTTTTTTTTTTTTGCAAATTCTGTTGTATTTTCCCCAAATTCTGTGTTTCCCATTTTAATTTCTCTAGAGTTTTTTTAAAATTATAATTATTTTTCTGTTTGAATGGTTTAATTAAATTTTAAAAAATCAAAAAGCATATCTAATAAATTTAACTTATACATTTCAAAATTTTAGAATTAAAAAAATACTCCTAAAACTTTAATTTATTAAAATTTTTACAATTAGTTTTACAATAGGGCCCTATGAATGCTTTTCCCCAAGAAATTCTATGTTGTCTGTTTTAATTTTTCTGGATTTAATACAAATTTATTGTCATAATCAGCGGTAATCAAATAAAGGTATAAAACATTAAACATTTAATTGATCTTATATTATGTCATCAAATTTAAATTGAACAGTTCCTTTTATTCTTTGGTAAAGCAAATGCTGCACAACAAAGGGTTACTGTTAAAATTTAAACAAATAAATGTTTGTTACTTTGAGAAGACCTTTTTACTGGACAGTAGTAATATATTTCTGTCACAGTTTCTTCAAGTTAAACTTTTATTTTGATGGGTTGTCGTGAAGACCTTTGAATTTCAAAAAGGTAGTCTCGCCTCATACTCATGCCATTGGTTGAGCCTAAAGTTTATATGTCAGATGGCTAAAAAAGTATCATTTTTTCTGTGTTAATGTTTTCCAGTAAGCCCGTCTACAAATGGGAAAGCATTTTAACAAATTAAAATTGCACAGTTACCTTAAAAGTTTCTCCTCCTTGATTATCTGACATTGAAAAATGAAGTCTTTTTGCCCATGTGAAACAATTTAGCAATTTATGCTAATAAATCATGCAATGGGAAGCATTTTATGAAATACTGGGAAGATCTGTCTTTCGTGAATAACCTACACAAAGCCAACTTTTCCCCAACAGCCAACTTTTCCCTAATCCCATAATCCTTTTTCATTTTAGACCGCCGGGCTCCTCCTACATCCACTATGCCGAGTCCTCCATGAAAAACGGCTTTGGTCTCAAATACCTCCATCGCTTCTTCAACATCCCATTCCTGCAGCTGCAGGTCAGAGAAAACTCTCAAAGTCAGAGATGAACACTTGCTCTCGGGTCAATGTTTGTCTAGTTTTAGCATCATTTCAAGTGGAATCCTCACATACCTTACACAAGGATTTTGATTTCATTCAGACTTCTAGTTTTTGGATCATGGCAGGGGCTCTTTATGCTTCTCCTGGAGATCTGCTGCCGTGCACTAACACACCTGCTGTAGATTTCAGGGCTGCGTTCCAATTCACATACTGCAATTTTTTTTATTTTTTTTTTTCAAAGCAGTATGCAGAAATAGAATGAGTGTCACCCAAATTATAGAGCATTGAAAATAGCATTCTAAGGATGCCTGGACATTGCTCTATTGTGAAAAAATATAGAGATGTATCCATGAGTTTTTTTGTTTGTTTGTTTTCTGCGGTGTTTTTTTTTTTTTTTTTTTTTTTTTTTTTTTTTTTGTACTAGTGCTGAAATGGTTCTGTCTGTGTCAGGAACTGAAAATGAGAGAAATATGAAATTTCCTGATGCATTATTATTATTATTATAATTTAGTTAATTCTGAGCAAAATCCCTTGAATTCACATCATAACTACGATTTCTGAAATCACAGTAGCTCCCATGGTCATTGAAAATCTAGAAATATGAGACTACTGTATTTTAAATTGTGATTTCCTGACCTGGAAAAGTCACAGGAATGAATGAAATTTTTAAAGTCTGTAATGAAAAATTCCATCAAAAAATTCATTTTTGTATTTTTTATGTGCATTGCTCTAAAATATTCCATTAGCTAGAAATTGATATCAATTTAAATTTAAAAAGTTAAATCTCTACACTTTTTTTAATCAATTTAAAGGATTTTAATTAAACCAGTGATATTTTTTTATTATTTTAATATTTTATAGTATTTATTAATATTTTGAATTAGCTTTTATATTCATATTTTCAGTTTTCATTATAATTAAATAATTTTATCGTAACATTTTAGTATTTTTGTCATGCACTTTTTACGTTTTTATTAGTATTAGGTTTTTTATATTATATTTTTTATATAGCTTTTATTTTTACATTTTGATTTTAGTCTTAGTACTTCAACTTCAACTTATTTTATTTCATTTAGTTGCCAATGTTTTTCATCTAATATTTATATTTTATTGTATTTCAGCTTTATTTCAGTTACTGAAAGTGATTTTTAATCATTTTAGTTTTACTTTTAGTTTTCGTTAACAATAACAGCACCCTTATTAATCACACAAGTTATGGAAATTAATTGGTCAAATGTTGCAGGAAGCCTACAGTAAGGTCTTCTCGAGAGCACTCAGTAGGCAGCTGTGGACCACCAGGAGCAGATTTGAGCACCCCTGCTTTAGCAGTAAAGTTAAAGTCCATTGTTTATTTGTATTCTCGTTATGCATCTCTAGAGACTGACTGAATGGCATTACTTAATAAGGTAGGTTGAAATTAGCCCGGGGATCAATAGCGACTGCTGTGTCTTATGTGTCAGCGTCTCAGGCTCTTCCTGAGGTTACTCCATAGTCAGTAGGTTGGAGGACTGGTTAATTAACTTCTCTAGTCTAGTTCAATTAACCAGTTGTACAAGATCATAAATACAGATGCAACCTCTATAGCTCATAAAAGTATCAGATACCATATCAGGATGGTGCCACGGGGTTTTGTTTTGGATATTTAACAAGTCTGTTTATGACTCTTTTATCTGCAGGACACTGTTGTTTAGATCTCCTGTTATACAGGAGTGTTTAATATTTGTCAATAGTGTTGTCGGTAGAACAGCTTGACTAAGTTGTTCAGACTTGCTGCAGTAAACGTGATGCAAATCCCGCTGCTCAGAATCAGTCCGTCGACCACAGCATGTCAATCTCATGAAAATTTTAGTGCTGTGCCGAGATCTGTTTTCCTCTCCTTGCTATCTTTTTCAGTCAACGTTTAAAGGCCACTTCTAACTTCCATGACTTTGAACAAACTTCTTACCCCAAGTATCAATTCTGTCCGGTTAAGAACAGTTATTGGCAGGGGTGCACAAGTTTTTCAATGTAGTTTTCAAGAGAGCACCTGGAGATTTGTTTTGGTGCTCACCCTGCACATAGTGTGACCCATTAAATATAACTATAATAAATAAATAAAAAATAGTATTATTGCACTTTTAGTTTTTTTAAATATAATAATAATAATAATAATAAACTTTGATAATACTATTATATTTTAAAATAAAAGTGAGTATTGAGTGTTAAATAAAGTGTATGAGTATTAAAAAATAAAAAAAATGTACAGTATGTTTAAAAATACAATGCTAATATTTTCATTTTCAGTTTTTCCCTTAACTTTTTTTAATGATTATTTAACATTTTCAAACCTAAAATCAGCAAGCTTTTATTTTGGCGGGTTGTCATCGAGTAAGTATCTGCACTGCCTGTTTTGGCGCTGCCGAGTAAAGTGCGTAAGCGAATGAAATGTCACAGGTTTGCGTTTTGCTTTGTATACCAGCAGTGCATAGCCTAGATTTATGCATTCGGTTCGAATGGAAATCATGTACATTATTACAGTAAGTTGATCTAAAACGGTGATTGTGCATTAACAGCTGTCGCAAATGAGCGGTGTGAACTTATTTACCCAGCGTATTTTTTATTTTGGTCATGCATACGCACCTGTGCACCACTTATGTGCACCCCTGGTTATTGGATAGTCTGTGTATTTCAGAAAAAGTTGCGCTGACAGCTTGAAGGTTTGCATATTTCTCTACCCATTAATTTCCAGTCCTCCTCCTAATTTAGAAATAATAAAGAAGATTTAGAAAGTGCTTACTTGAGTAAAAATGAGGTCAGTGTTGATGTCCTGGGAGTTTACAGTGTGTTTGATGTGATGTTTGTGTTTGCAGAGGGAGACTCTGTTACGGCAACTGGAGACAAATCAGCTTGACATCGATGCCACACTAGAAGAGCTCAGTGTTCAGCAGGAGACCGAGGACCAGAACTATGACATGTTAGTGTAAACCTCACCACATACCGGTGTATTAACTATATATATATTTTTTTATTTTATTTTACAGATTAATTATAATTTACAACAGTAATATATTTAGTCTTTTTTCATTAATAAAATTACATTATTATTATTAATTATTTTATAAAATAAAACAATAATTATTATTATTGTCTTTGTTATTGCTCTTGTTGTCACTACTGTTAATAATATATATTATTCTATTTTATAATAGGATTAATAACAACAATAATAATAGCACTCTATAATACAGTAGAATAATAATTAATATTATTAATAACACAATTTTATATAGTGTAAATATATATATATATATATATATATATATATATATATGTGTATAAATATACTTAACAGAAAAAAAAGAGGCTTCATCTCACGCCTGTTCGGATCGTCCGCTGCAGAGGCGTCACCAGACAAACCAGGTCAGTACAGAACAGTGCTACTATAGTAGCGTTGATATAATAGTTTTTATTAATAAAGGGTTTCTGCAGGTCTTAATTCGCCCCTCTACAAATCAAGATCTGAAATTGGAGCGGAAAATCTTAAATTCATAAAGTCATGGCATTAAATGTTGCATCTCAGTTTTTCGGTTTTGTTTTCCAGTACAAATACCTAAACATCCTTAAATCATTATACATTTACTTGAGATGCAAATTGAAGATATAACATCTTGTTTTCTGTGAAATTGAACAGAATTAAGTAGTTTGTGCTTGAAACATAATTGTTTGTTTTAATCATAAACTTATTTCTCAGAAAACAAGATTCATCTCCTGTCATTTTGTTTCTCAAGTAAATGTATTTTGATTTAAGAATCTTCAGACTTTTTTGTCAAATGAATTATAAACTTTTGGAGGTTGTGTGTTCAGACTTTGAAGTGTTGCCAATTCAAGACATTTACATTTAGAACAGTTTTTTTCCTGCATTTAAATTTTTTTGGCGGCCACCAAAGTGAATTTTTGTCCCGCCAAAGCTTTTTTTGATCAGTTAATGTGATTTATGCACGTGTGAAAGCACGCATGTTAACTGAGGGAGAGAAAAAGCAGAGAGCGTCAACGTCCGCTAATGTCCGATTCTAATGACTCTTTTGAACCGATTCATTTTATTGAATGGTTAAAACAACTGATCTGTTCAACACTGAACTCATGATACATCACTGTCTGAATCAGTGTATAAATCATTTACTCAGAACACCTCAGAAATTAGATCGTAATTGTTACCCCATTTAGCAAGAGTGGTTAGTAAGATTTAGCCTTAATAATCTACAGTATTTTCATGGTCTTTATATGACAATGTGTAGTAAATTACCTACAAAATAATTTAGACTGGAGTGAGGTGAAACCAGAACAAAGCACAAAGCAAGTTTTGTTAACTAGCTGCTAATTTTATTCAATTGTATATTGTAAAAAATTAGACTATTAGTGAAATACATTTTTTAGTTACATTTTTAATGCTACTTTTCTAACGATACTTTGGTAATGGTGACGTTTACATGTAAAATAGTTGTAAGCACTTTGTTTTATTATCTGTCCTGACAGTGATGGTTTTTTGATTTAATGAATAAAAAGGATGAGCAGAAATCACAAACATAAATGTTTCTTTACATTTATTTAAAATGAATTGTAAGTATTGGACTCGCAGATCACATGGGTAGGGTACTTTTTACTGTGTGTGTGGATGACCCACCACCGACCATTTTTGACCCAGGAAAAAACCCTGTTAGAGACCATATTGACATATCATGTTCCATTCAATTTATTCCTAGTCTTAAAAAGTCTTAAAATTACCTTCCTTAAAACCTGCAGAAACCCTGTAATATTTTGACTATTTTGATTTTTTTTATGTACTGTTTTCATTTTAATTTTACTTTAACTATGAGTAATTGTTTTGTGTGTGTTCATCATTTTTATTCATGTTTTTAAAGTTTTGTACAAAGTTACTGCTTTTTATTTCAATTTTAGTTATTTTAGTATTTCAAGTTAAACTAAATGAAAATGAGAAATTATGCCTTGGCAACTTTTTTTTATTTATTTTATTTTATTAAAATTTATGTTTATTTTATTTCAAATAATGAAAAGTTGCCGTTGCATGTACTGTACAAAATATAATAGTACTGTACAATTACGATTAATAACGAATATATAACAATTTGATTAACAGCACCATTTTAAATTGAATAAAAACATGAAAAGGCAAAAACACCTCATTCACATTCTTTATTCATCATTTTGTAGAAGTAGAGTTAAAAATCTGCTAAATTATTTGTAAAAAAAAAAATAAAAAAAAGTACATCACCTTCTTGGTCTGACCAAAATTACCTGAACTCATTTCGTAATCGTAAGTTTTTGTTGTGTGTGCGCATGTGTGTGTGCGCGTGTGTGTTTGCGCGTGTGTGTGTGTGTGTGTGCGCGTGTGTGTGTGTGTGTGTGTAGGTTTGCTAGTGTGACTTTATGAACTCTAGTAAAAAGGTGCTGTCGTCCAGGGACTATGTTCATTGCCTTATATACTGAATACCAATGAGACATTATCAGGCAACAATGGAGCCACCGCTGCACAGTCATTACTGAGACCGTTGGACTGACAAACACACGCACAGCTCTGCACCAGTGCATCTGCTGCTGCATTGCAGATCCTGGGGGATGGGGCCAATCAGAAGGACGCTAATGCACTTCCTGTCAACACATAGAAACAGAAAGTGTGTCAAATCATGTTGTATTACATTTTATATTCAAAACATCATATGCAAATATTTAGATTTCTTAATTTAGTTTGGTTTCATAAAATTTCCCTTTTTTTCCCAATTTGCCATATGTCTAAACTGGCATTAAAGATGCCACAATAACATAAATTATCATTAATCATTCATTCAGCATCACAGATGGTCCAGGTTTTAGATATATTCATATATTAATTTCCATACTATGGTTCATGTGTTTTGGTGAAATTTTAGGACCAAAACTGGGCTGCATTTCCCAAAAGCATCGTAAGCCTAAGTACATCGTAGACCCATTGCCACCAATGGAGCTACTATCAATTTAGGCTTGTGATGCTTTTGGGAAATGCAGCCCTGGACATTAAAATTTTTTTGTGAGTTTGTAGTATTATTAAAAAATAATTACTAGTACTGAATGTTGTATTGCTTATTTTATTTAATCAAAATAATCAGGCTGATTTTTATTACTGTATTACATTAAAGGGGTCATATGATGCGATTTCATTTTTTCCTTTCTCTTTAGAGTGTTACAAGCTCTTGGTGCATAAAGAAGATCTGTAAAGTTGCAAAGACTAAAGTCTCAAATCCAAAGAGATATTGATTTTTTTATAAAAATTTGTTGAGGAAATGAGCCTGATTGAATGTTTTTTTTTTTAAATAAATAAAATTTTAATGCTTGAGGTGTATTGTCAGATTTAGCAAATCATGTTATGTTTACATTAACCTTTTTTAGAATAATTATAATAATTAATAATAAATGTATAATAGAATTTTATAACAGGAAAATTCTGTAATTCCATAATGGTCAAGTATGTTGAATCTTTGCAGTAGTGTAACATAATTTTTGCATTTTATATTAATGCAATTTAAAAAATATATTCTGTTTCATAAAATATTTTTCTTTTGATGCTTGAGGTGTAATGACAGACTAACCTAATAACGTTACATTTATATTAACCATTTTTTAAAATAATTAATAATAAAAGTTTAATAGAATTTAATAATATGAAAAACTAAAATAGTCAAATATGTTTTAGTTGTAAATATGGTATAAATATCTGATCTTTGCAGGTGCGTAACAATTTGTGCATCTTGCCATTACTTAACGCAATTAATATGATTTCAATAAACATGCATTTTGTTAAAACGTGTAAACGTACAAATGTTGACCTGTTGCCATGAAGCTAGAAAAGCATTTTAAACCCTTTTCTGGTCTTTTTATCTTCATCAGAACCTATGGGCTCTGAAGACCCGAAGCCCTCTGGAAAGGTGAAGAGTGTGGATGACTTTGTGCCGGGGGTGGGCATGGAACGGACCTTTCTGGAAGATGGTGGAACAGCAGTTAAATCAAAGAACAAACCTCCAGCATCAGCTCCCATCCTGGACAGTGATAGGTGAGCTGTTATAACATGCAGTTTGTTTCTAAAAGCAAAAATCATCCCTCCAGTATTACTGTAGAAATTTCAGCAGCTCATAATCATGCTGGACAGGATTACAGGTGGGATTTTTCATTTGCTCAGACCAACATGATTTTTCTGCCTCGGAATGAGGTTTTTTTTGTTTGTTTGTTTGTTTTTTAGAGATGAAGAAAGTAGAGAATTTTGAGGAACAATGAAAAAAAAGTGTAAAATAAAAATGTTTGTATTCTTCTAAGTCTGATGCATTGATCACAGCAAAAGAGGCATTTATTGAGAAAGTAAATGAGTTTAAATTTGATCTCATGTTAAGCTTCTGAGAGCTCTCCTGTCTTTTCCTCAGTGATGGTGAGGGACGGGGAAATCCTCTGGTCTCCGGCTTCCAGGATGATTTAGATCCGGATGACAGAGCGCTGTCCCAGCCTGCCGTTAAAGTGGCGGTCCCGAGCATGGGCGTCACACTCACGAGTGATGAAGAGGAGGAAGATTCATCTCTGCCCTCTGCTGCCCAGCACAAAGGCATTGGATCAGGCCCAAACTCAAAGGGGTAAGAAACCACCTGCAGATGTGTCAAATGCATCATACTTTTAATAGAAAGACTTCAGTGAGATGCAGACATGTTGAGACCTGACCACATTTTCCTGAAGATTTGTTGTACATTTTTAATTAATTTCCCTCACTGTTGATGAGCTTCTGAAATAGAAATAATTCCATCAGCAGAGAGACTTGTCTAATTTACTTTAATTAAATCACTCTTAATAAAGTCATAGCCAATTTTCATTTCTTGATATTATTTTTCAATTAATGCTACCTTGGCACAAGTGATTTCCATAGATGTATAGAGAGAGATGGATGGAGAGATGACAGAGAGCCAGATTGATAGAGAATGATGGATGGAGAGATGGATAGATGGAGAGATGGATGGATGGAGAGATGGATAGATGGAATGGAGAGATGGATAGAGAGATGACAGAGAGCTAGATTGATAGATAGAATGACAGAGCTATAGATAGATAGATAGATAGATGGATGGATGATTGGGGGATAGACGGATATATGGCTGGACGGATAGACAGATGGATGGATGGATGGATGGATGATTGCGGGATAGATGGATATATGGCTGGACGGATAGACAGATGGATAGATCTCTGATTTAATGAATAATTATTTGGAGTCAAGATTGTTTCCTCATATTTTCTGTGGAATCTGACTCTCAATTCTAGATCTACAGTGAATTCTGTCAAACAGCTGCAAACCAAGTCTAAACCAGCTGAGAGACCCCAAAGCCTGAAAACCCCAGCAGGACCTGCAGTGCAGCGACTGAAGACAGGAGGCGCTGTTGAGGCCGACTCAGATTCAGACCAAGAGGCTCCAGTCGCTCAGCAGATGCTTTCATTTGTCATGGACGACCCTGATTTTAAGAACGAAGAGTTTGACGGACACAAGATCAAGAAGGTAGAAAACAATTTCTAGGTTCTTGATTAGTGTTGCTTGCTTATGACTAAATAATCAACTGATGAAATCTTAAGCCACAGCCTGCTATTCCACAATTAGTCTAATTTTAGTATATTTTTGTTTGTTGAATTAGTTTTTTTTTTTTTTTTTTTTTTTTCCCCTTTTCAGGTTTTTTTTGTTTCATTTTTGTAATTTTGTTGTGTATTTTGTCATTTTTATATCATGTATATATATATTTTTATTTTTTCTACACATTTCACATTTTAATCCTAGAAAGCTTTTTATTTTTTCTAAAAAAAAAAGTGTTTTTTGTTTTTTTTTACTTGAGAAATGAGAAATGTTTAGTTGGCAAATAGCTGAAATAAAGTTTTTGTTATTTTTTTATTTGCGTTTTTCTATTGTTTTACTTCAAGTAATGAAAGTGTTTTATGCTTTTTGTTCTCAAATAAATATAAACCATCTAATAAATGCACTCTATAAGAAAAGCCCACAAAAGACCATTTAGATATTAAATAAGTACTTTGCCACTGCCACCAAATAATTCCCGCTCAGTCTCATATTTTATGCTTCATCTGTTTTGCGTAGGGCACTTTTTCTGCACGAGATGACTTATCTGACCGGTCGGATGATGGGTTTGTGTTAGCTGGACTCCCAGAGCCCCCCAAACCTGCTGCCGCTTCATTTAAGACCCTCAACAGTGGTATTGACCTGTTCGGCCTGGGATTTGAAGAGATGACACCTAAGAGTAAAGACAGCAGTGAAGACCAGGAAGGTATGTTCAGTAAATAACGTGTGTTTGTGTTTTTGTGTGTGTGACAAATGAGGACATAAATTGTGACAAATTGTGCGTTTTTGTGACAAATGAGGACATAAATTTGTATAATGACAAGGGTATAACATAGGTATTACAAGGAGAAGGTGACTTTTCAGGACATTACCCCATGTCCCCACTTTTCAAAACGCATATAACAGCGTGTGTGTGCATGTGTGCGTGTGTGTGTGTGTGTGTGTGTGTGTATTTGTAGTACAAGATAAGTCAAGATTACATTATTTAATCAGTCACTGAAATATGTCATACTTTTTTACGGTTAATTTAAGTGTCAATTTAATTAACACTCAAGATGAAAAAAAGATTCCTTTTAGTGGATTATTGAAAACATTGGTGCATATTTTTAAGATAGGATAGGTGAGACTAACACAGGGCAGAGCACTGCAAATTCATTGCTTCAATATTTATGTTTGAATAAATCCGTCAAGTTTTTATGACAGCCACCATTTTTATGTTTATATTTCAAAAAAACGAATTTGAGTACAAATACAATTATGTAATTGTTAATATTATAACTTTATTATTATAAAAACTTAATTGAGTGTAATTTAGGTGTTTGTATACAATATTATAATGTAGTACCAGCTTACTCATGTATATTTTACAGCATTAGTTTAGAGAATTTTTTTTTCCTTGAGAAAATTTGCCATGTACTGTACCTGATATATTTCCAAAAGAATCGATATTGAATCAAATCGGAATCTAATAGAATCGCAAGCTAGTGAGTCAAAATCGAATCATATCGTGAAATTGTACTTGTGTAAAAACGAAACGGCAAGTAGCACATTAAAAAAACATGAAATTTTGAAGTAGAAAGACTGAAATAATATTTTCTTGTCAAATGTACTCCAGTAATCCAATAACAGCATAACTTCCAAGTGTGTGTTATCTTGCAGATAATGAAAGCAGACACTCCACAAAGGACAAGAAAAAGAAGAAAAAGAAAAGCAAAGAGGTAAGATATTAAAAACCTGACCATATTACTGATTGATTGTGACTGATATATCAGCCAAGGCAAATAACTGACTATTTTTGAGTTTTGCAGCAGCGGACATGTGTATCACTTCCAAAATGTACCAGCAAGCTTGTCAAATAACAGCGTCCAGCTTATTTTATAATATTTTTGGCACATTTTGTCAAATCTTGTTTACTTGTATAGTGCTTTATACAATACAACTTGTTTCAAAGCAATTTAAAATAATAGTTGAACCGAACTAATGTCAAATACAGCTAAATCTATACAATTAAAAAAGTATTAATTTAATGGCGCCAATTTTATTTGCATCTTATTTGTTATCATTAAATGGTATTATATATAACAGCATTACACTTGGACACCAGTCAGCCTTCTCAATATCGGCATCAGCGATCAAAAAGCATATACTGGTTGATAATTTACTCTTATTAAAACGTTTTCGTGCCATCAGATTTCGTTGCTTGTGCACAAACTGTCTTTATATGTAGTGAAATAAAAAGGGAAAAATCTTGTTTTTGTTCTAGGAGGACGAGAAAAGCAGCAAGAAACGACACAAACACAAGAAAAAGGAAAAAGATGAGCCGGGAACAGGAGACGAGAAAGAAAAGAAGAAGAAGAAATCTTCAAGGACCAAGAAAGCAGGAACTGTGGACGATCTTGAGGCCTTCCTGGCAGGTGGAGACGGACCAGGAAACAGTGAGGGCGGAGACTATGAAGAACTCTAACCAATCAGGGTTTGACATCCACACCGTGTGACATCGCCAGGTCATTTTCCAATCCATTCCACCTGTTTTTCAGTGCCTAACCTTTTGAGTTTTCACGGCGTTTTTGTTCTTCCAGCATTGCAGCTTTATAAATTGGTTTGTGGCACCGTTGTTCACCTCATGCCGTTTTCCAGTATTTTCAGACATAACTTTTAGATGCATTTTCAAATGATCCAGAGTTTATTCCGTTATTAACTGATTAGAACTCTTAAGTCGTTCCACAAAGACTTGAAGTAATTTTAGCTTTGTTGGTTTTGTTTTGTGTGTGTCTTTGCCAATGTGTGTGTGTATATATATATATATATATATATATGTGTGTCCCTGAACATTTTGGCAACTCTGTGTGTGCTTGCATTTTTATTTAGCAAACATATAGAGGGATTAATCAGACTTGCATTCAAATCTACGTAACATATTTGCCCGCAATACATGAGCAGAGCTAATTTCTGTCAAACATTCAAAGAACTATTCACATTTAATTGAATATTTCCGCTCGCGTTTGTAAACCGTTCTTGTATAAATTGTCTATTGCAATTCTGTCCAACAATTAATACAAGAACGGATTTCATGAACAGTTTGCACAGAAGTTAATTCCTCATGTGCTTCATGAATGAGACCTGACATGTTGTGACGTTCATTGTCTTCCAGATGCTACATCATATATCAAACCTTAGGAAAAATAATCAGTCGTAACTAGATTTAATACCATAAGCCTCTTTCGCCATCAGTTTCTTTCCAGTAATGCCTTAAATTGTTTTACACTTAACAAAATGGAAGCTTTTATAGAGCAATCCTATAAAGTTAATTAATGACTGAGGCTCTGACAGACTGCTAACATTGACAGAATTACTTTGAGCTAGAGAGACACACACACTCTTGCAGCAATCACAATCACGTTTGCAATTAGATATATAATTATAATTATGACAAAGTTAGTCAGATTGTCTTTTTGGCAATTATTTATGCAGTTATTAAACCAGTATTATTGTTTATGATCTTAAAATGTGTTAAATGTAATAGTTTCATAATGATAGTTTCTGGTTCCGGTCAAAATTCTAACTCTCATGGTCTGTTTGTGATGTCCTGTCTGGTAAATGTATTCATTTCCTTTGCTGTATATTTTTATTGTTGTTATGGCTTGTGTACATGTTAGGAGTTGTGTTTAGATCTCGTGTTTTAGATAGTTTGATCCGTACACTCCAGATAATTTCAGAGATGGACTACCCAGGAACATTGTCTGATCCTGTGATGTTGAGGCACCTTGAACGTCCTTTATGAATAGCCAACATATTCAGAGCCTGACCGTGCATAAAAATGAGTAAATGTCATCAATTTTAGCAAAAGCCTAAATTACTAAATGCAACTAAACAGAGCTGCTCTAAAAATATTTTCCCTCATAGTTACGCTTGTTTTGGTGACCTGAAGGAAAGAAAGTTGAGTTTTAGTAAAAGAAAAAAGGGCCATTTATGTAAATGTATAAAATCTTGAGCATAAGATAGTGAAAGTAAAATCATATTTTGAATGCACACATTTATACTTTGTAATATCAACATAAAATTTAATAATATTTTGGCTTTCAATGATCCATTAATATTTTGATGAATGAAAGTTATGTAGACAAATGATTGTTTACTCGTCATTCATAACGGACGTCATTCATGAATCTGGATCAGAATTGTTTTCTTTAATGGTTGCATCAAATTGAAAGTGAAATGACCGTTTACTGTATGCAAACGATTCAGGCTACGTTTACACGTCAACGATGTAGTCAAAAACGGAAAAGTTTACGTGTAAAGGGCCCCTCATTCTCATCGTGTTTCATGAATGAATCCTAGTGTTTACTTCATAATGCCCCCATATGCTTTTGTTTTCATCAAGTAATGATAAATGATTACCATATTATTCAGTTTTTACTTCAACTGTTGCATCGAATTGAATGTGTAATGACTATTTACATACAGTTTTACCAGCTATTCATTTTATTTGTATTTCATGATCGAATCCTAGTGTTTACTTGCAATGCCCCCTTTATGCTTTTTCATTAGCATTTATCACATATTGATAAATGATTAGTAAATAATTTCAGGTGTTCATATTTCATCGAATTGAATGTGAAATGAGCATTTACGCAAGAACGGATTTACCAATAATTCACTTCACTTGTGCGTCATGAATGAATCCCATTGTTTACTTGCAATGCCCCCCCCCCCTTTTTTTTTTTTTGCTTATGTTATCACCATAGATTGATAAATAACCAAATAATTTCAGGCTGGAATATGTTATTCTAATGAACTATCATGTCATGGAATCTGATTGGCTCCAGCTTAAGTGGAAGAATGACATCATCCGTAGTGGTGTGCACTTCAGACCCTCATCATTTCAAATGGATTTTCTATTTTTAAATTTTTATTACTGGGACAAAATGACAATGTACTTTCTGCCTAACATAAGAAGGACTTGTTTTTGGTTTGATGGTACTATAAACATTCACCTTGGCATCCACCTTTGAACTTTTGGTTGTTTCGGTCCGAGATATCCATCCGTCCGTTTGTAGACCGTCCCGCTATGGCTTTCCCTCAGGATACGCCGTCACCCTGTTGACAACTGAATGTTGATTCCTGCTCGTAAAGATGTTTTCTCAGAATCCTCCAAGGAATTCAAGCACATCGCTGGGGCGAATAGCGGGTAACTAACGGTACGTTTAAAGAAGTGCAGATTCCCGTGTGTCTCTTGCGGCAGTCATCTGCGTCTCTTAGGTGGCTGCAGATGGATCCACACACGCCGCTGAAAGCATGTGATGCATCACGCTGTCACCATGGAAGCACACGCCTGGGAAACCCGTCTCTACACGCTCACTGTGATAAATAGTCACGCTCTCCACTGTTAATACTCTCACCTCAAACCAGCAGAAGTGCGCACCTCGAACACATATCAACTTCCTCTTTACTCTGGGCCCTTGATTTTTTTTATTTATCTGTCCGTTTGGCATGCATATTTTTTCCCACCATACGAGAAAAGGAGACGGGAAATGAATGCATTGGTGCTGCACTAGCTCTTGCTGGCTGTTGGATTGCATGCAATTACCAACATACTTCCTGCACAGCGTTTCACAACGACTGCTTTCATGGACTGGAAATGTTTGGGAACGCTATTTTTAAGCCGTATATCGGTTTTATTTTATTCATACAGCATATATGCGTTCCAAAGCCTTTGTTTGGGACCGTAAATTATTGTGTTTGCCTATTTATTGTTTTTGTTACCCTGTTTCACTACCCTTAGTATTCATATTTGATTTATGTGTTTCAATTGTGTAATAAATGCAACAGAAATTTGACCAGGTTTGTAGGAGTTGAGCTGCTTAAGTTCAATGAGATTTATTTGTCTCTTAATGATGAAAAATAAATAATATATATTTTAATATATAATACATATTTTATTAAATATAATATATAGTGTCATTCAGAAGATTGGGATCAGTAAGATTTTTAATGTTTTTTTTTATCAAAAAAAAAAGTTAAATATTGTTGCAATTTAAAATAACAGTTTTCTATTTTAATATACTTCAGAATATAATGTTTTAAAGCAAAGCTGAATTTTCAGCATCATTACCATTTACAGTTTTTTGTGTCACATGATCCTTCAGAAATCATTCTAATATGCTGATTTATAATCAATGTTGTAAACAGTTGTGCTGCTTAATATTTTTTTGGGACCGGTGATATTTTTTCAGGATTCTTTGATAAAAAGTAAAAAAAAAAAAAAAAAACAGTGTTTATTCAAAATAGAAATGTTGTGTTACAATATACGCTACCATTCAAAAGTTTGGGGTCAGTATATTTTTTCTTTTTAAAGAAATTAATACTTTTATTCAGCAAGGATGTGTTAAACGGATAAAAGGTGATAGTAAAGACCTATATTGTTAAAAAAAAGATTTCTGTTTTAAATAAATGCTGTTCTTTTTAACTTTTTATTCATCAAAGAATCATAGAAAAAAAGTATCACAGGTTCCAAAAAAATATTAAGCAGCACGACAGTTTCAAAACTGATAATAAATCAGCATATTAGAATGATTTCTGAAGGATTATGTGACACTGAAGACTGCAGTAATGGCTGATGAAAATTCAGTGCTACATCACAGAAATAAATGATATTTTAAAGTATATTAAAATAGGAAACAAATATTAGAAATTGCAATAATATTTAACAATTTAACTTTTTTTTTCTGTATTTTTGATCAAATAAATACAGCATTGAAGAGCATTAGAGACTCCATTAAAAACTTAAAAAATCTTACTGGTCCCAAACATTTGAACAGCAGTGTCTATGTATGTAGATGGATAATATTTTTACTTTAAATATTACCTTTAAAGTTTATGTGTATTATTAACACCAGAACTTTGGTTTCAGTGCTTTCAATGTTTTTTTGTTTTGTTTGTTTTTTTCCAGTTCTTCTATTTTAAAGAAATCTCTAGGTCTTTTTCTAGATCATTTTAGCGAACACTTCATTGCTATTCTTTTTGCTGCCCTGTTGGAACTGCAGTTTTTGTTCTGGAAATGTGAGTCTAGATCAGATTTACAGCCCAATCCACAACGTGGACTTGCATGTTTTTGGTTGTGACGTTTTCTTGCCACTAGAGGAAGCAGTTTTGACTTAACCATACAGTTAGCAGAAGGTTCAAGTAACCCGGTTAAGTTTGCTTGAGCCATAGGTTGTGTTTGGAGCAGTAGTTGTGTTCAGTTATTTGTTTGTTTGCTTACAGTATTTACTTGTTTATCAGCAATGAACTATGATTTCCAGTGCAGTTTGTTTTCTACTTACTTTAATCATTCACAGAATGGTGTTTCAGTATTCAGTGCCGATGAAGTCTGTCACTGATGCCAACTTCTGTCATTTCAGTAAGTAGTAACTCTTATTTATACTACCAAAGTCTCTTTCCGTGTCCTTCTCTTCCCCTTCTCTGTCTTATAGATCACATTAACTATATGGCCTCAGTCCAGGAGAGTGTTAAAGGAATATCTGGGTTATTTTACCTTGATGTCTATGGACCACATCTGTGGCGTGCTGTCGAGTACATGGACTGTCATTTATAAATTTGACAGACGCCTAATGCATAAAAATCAAATCCAAAGTGCTTACGTTGCATTCAACCTATACATATTATCAGTACATGCATTCTCTGGGAATCGATCCCATGACCTTGGTGTTGCTAGCGCTATGTCCATCTTCCTAGAATAGCCTTGAAAGACCAATTTAAATAACATTTAATGAGTAGTTTTGAATAATGTTGATCTTGTTGATTATTTTCTGGCACAGAAATGTGTGTATTAAATACAATACAGTCAGCTTTATAGGGTTAAGAAACTTTCTGCTGACTAGTTTTCCTTTAAAGACCAAAT